GTCAGTATGAGAAGGTAAAGTCTGAATTGAATTGCGTCGATTGGGAGGCTTTACGCTCACCAGAGGATGTCAACGAATGTTTAGATGCTTTTTACAGCAGGTTACATAAGGTAGTTTCAAATAACACACCACTCGTAAGAAATATAGCTGCAAGTTTTGTACTGATTGTACTTTGGCTTTAATTTGTTGTATAAGGGAAAAAAATCAAAAATCAAAAGCGTTTAAAAAAAAAAACTAATCCAAGGGATTATGATACATTTTCTCTACTTCGAAGACGGTGTAAAGTCCTCATCACAAATTGCTACAGAAACTATCTCTCTTCTGTTGGGGAGTCTCTGAGTGATGATCCTTTGATGTTCTGGCGGTACGTTAAGAACAAGAAAGGTGGTTCTACTATACCCCTCAGTATGTCGCACGATACTAAAACTCGTTCAAATGGGCAAGATATCTGTATATTATTCGCGGAATATTTCGGTTCTGTTTATGACCTTCCTTCATCATTCGATAATTTCTCCGTGCTGCATAACATGCCTCAGGTCGGACATTTATCTCTGTATCAAGTTAGGATTAGTCAATAGGATATATGCTCAAAAATTAAACGATTAGATAAATGCATCATTAGATCGCATTTGGGTCCGCTGTTCTTTTTGATTTCTATAAATGATTTAGCGAATTCTATTGGGTGCAATTTCAAAATGTATGCTGATGATTTATAATATTTATATATTTATATTCATAATGATGGTGATATTGACGAGTTACAGAAAGAGATAAATAAAATGAGTAAGTGGTGTGAAACTAATGGGATGATTCTAAATGTTTTCACAAGAAATTTTCTCGGAAGCGAATATAAAGGATAGCTCATTGAGTTTTAGAACTCAAAGAGACGAGATAGTGAAAAAAGCTTCTAAGATGTCAGGTTTCATATCACGACAAAGAAATCGGTGTGGAATCCTAGTTACTGTGTGCAGTCGAATAGAATGGAATGTATTCAGAAAAGAGTTATATCAACTGTCATTCATCGATAATAAATGCAAGGACCTGAAATCTTAAGTCCCACGAACCGGCAGTCGTCTTCACAATAGGAAAACATTTTTCTTGCCACGATATCGTACAAATATTGGACAGCATTCAGCTGCATATCGCATGTGTAAAAGTTATAATGGCATCAGATCTCAGTTCGACATATTTACAGGTTCTTTGACCTCAGCTAAATCAAGAATGGCAACGCTAAAATCCTGAGCGAAAAACGCCAAAATCTAGCATTGAATTTCTTTGTTTCAAACCATTTTATTTTTCCATGTTTGTTAGCATATTGGCAGTGTTTTTTTTATTATTTTATTTGTTTTTTGTTCTTATTTAAAAAATATTGTATTCCGTCACTTAAGCATGATGTATTCACTACCCTAGGGTGGACACATAAAAAGTTTATGAAAACAATATGAAACATTACAGTGGGCGTTCAAGGGCATGTATATTTGTTTATATTATCGGAAAGTTGATAACTATTCTATTACATTTATTTAACATTAATTTAACATTTTAATTTATATTAATCAAACATTTAAATTTTATTTTATATTATTCAAACATTTTAATTTAGTAAAACAATAATAACAATCAAAAACTTCCAAGTTTTAAAACTGGTTTATTCAAGTTTGCATTCATTTTTCTAGAAAACTTCCAATGAGGTATACTATGCTAGGCCAAGATGGTTTTGTTTTGTAAACACAAAGTTTTAAAACCATCTTGACGATCTCCGTGGCAGAGTGGCTTGTAAGCCCCGGTTTCAAGGCGTCGCCATATCTAGAGGTACTGGGTTCAATTCCCGGTGGGGGCAAATGTTTGTATGATGAATACAGGCATTTGTTAGAACAAATCTTCTTTGAAAGGTCTTTGATGTTTATATAGGTATTGAGTATATTATGAATATTTGTATAAATATATCTGTTATGTATATTTATCCGTCATCTAGTATCCACAACATAAGCGGCATAAGCTGCTTACTTTGGGCTAGTTGATAGGTGTCATTGTCAGAAAATATTTACTTGTTTAAAATATAGTTATTTTTACTGTATGCATTCTAGGTATCTAGATGTTTTATTTATTGTGAATTTAATTTTGTTCAAGATCACAACTTATTTTAAGAAGGGCCTTTTATCAGATGAAAAAACTAAAGCCGAGCTCATGATTTGCGCTGCACTAGTTGAACACAACATACCTTTCAGATTCATGGACCACTTGAGCGACGTTTTAAAACGAGCATTTGAAGACTCAGAGATAGCAAAGGCATTCACATGCAAGCAAGCAAAAGCAGCTCATCTTATATATGACGATATAGCACCAACATTCGAAAAAAAACTATTCGAAGATGTTGTTTCATGTAAGTCGCCTTCAGGGAAAAAACATATTTTCTGTAATAATTGATGAGATAATTTAAATGTAGCAGACGTACTTGGTTTTGCCGCGGATACAACTAATGTAATTTTTGGTACTAACAGGAGTGTGGTGTCAAAAATATAGTCTATTAATCCTTATTGCATTTTTGTAAAGTGTGTATGTCACTCTGTTGCGCTATCTGTAAGCTATGCATGTAAAGAACTGCCTCGAAATATTGACCAGATTGTTAAAGATGTTCACAACTATTTTAGTCACAGCAGTAAGCGACAGCGAGAATTTTCCGAATTTCAAAATTTTGTTGACACCGAAAATCACAATTTATTGCGACATTATGAGATCAGGTGGCTTTCTTTACATGCCTGTGTAAATAGAATAATTGAACAACGGGACGCTTTGAAATTGTATTTTAATAATCAATATTTATTAGATCGCAATCTTAATGCTGAATTTTTAAAAGTTAATTTTGATGATAATGTATCAAAATTATACTTTTTGTTTTTGGATTATGTGTTACCAATTGTTAATAAATTTAACACAATTTTCCAATCGGCATATAGTGCCGTCCATCGATTACATAGGGATATGAGTGATATGTATAAGGCCTTACTGAGTTGTTATATGAAAAATGTATACATAACAGCGACTTCTATAGAAAATATTGATCCTAACAGTGAAATAAATTTGCTTGATATTAATCCAATGTATTTAGGTGTGAAAAGTAGCAAAAATAATTTTAAATATGGGTAGGGATCATACACAAAGAATTCAGGAGTTTTTGAGAAGGTCGCGGTTATTCCTAATTGAGCTATGCATGCAAAGAAAAAGAGACTGCCAATAGAACATCATTTGTTTAGGGAGTTAATATTTTTAGACCCCCAAATAGCAGCGTATGAGCAGTTTTCTAGTCTCGTGTCACTGACTCAACGGTTTCCTAATTTAGTGTGTGACGAAATTACACAATAATTAATTGACGAAGAGTATCGTCAGTTAAAATATGACAATAACGTACAAAATTTACTGGCGCCGTCCAGTGACTTTGCAGTGTCACAGGATACTGATAAGTTTTGGGCGAGCGTTCATAAATTAACAGATAGTTATAATAAATTGAAATATGATAATATCTGTAAATTCGCAAAAGCGATGATGTGTTTGCCCGTATCGAACGCTTCTTGTGAGCGTATATTTTCGCAAGTTAATTTAATTAAAACTAAACATCGTAATCGGTTTTTAAATACACACATATCGTCGCTTTTGCACACAAAACAAGGGATAATTGATAGTGGAGAAAATTGTACAAACTTTGTACCTGATTCTAATATGATTAGATTAAGCTAAAATTGTAATGAAAATAAATATTCTCAATTTAATTAAAATAATAAATCATGTTTTATTTCAACCACAATTTTAAATGCATCAAAATGTAGGTCGGTTGAATTTCGGTAGTTTTTTTTTTTTACTTCAGTAGATTTCAGTAGATTTTTGTAGAAAAAGTTGCCGAATTTAGTAGATTAGTAATATTTCATAACCGTCACACTGTCATCTACCCACCGTAGATGGCCCGAGGTACGTCGGGGTACCAGGGATTTCCTTTCTAGGGTACTTCTGGTTCCCCGGCTACTGATACCCAATGATTATTGCCGCACAGAAAAAAAAGGTAGAGATTTCAGCATTCAAAAATACAATACATGTCTAAATCTCTTACGTAATATCTAGAAAGAGATCGTCGGAGAATCATGTGGGCCAGGTTCGACCGGCGTAATACCACGGCCTCGCAGAAAACCGGTGTCAAGCAATTATTACGCCTTCCCCCCGTGATTCCGGGCAGAAGGCATGTGTGACTCTAAGTTGCAGGTGTTCATGAGCGTCAATAGTCATTTACTATCAGGTAACCCGTTTGCTCGTTTGCCATAAAAAATAAAGACAGGGGACATAAAAGGTAGCCAGGCCCGGGAACGAGGCGACTCACCGACTCCGTCTTCCATAAGCGCAGGCCTGGGGGTGACAGGTGAGGCCATCTGTCACCCTAGCAGAAGCAGGCCGGGGTGGCGGCGAGCGCGTTGCGAAGCGCGCTCGCTTCCAGGGAGCACAGGGAACATGGGGTTCCCACACGGGGGGGGGGGGGGTCGTCTACTCGTCTGTAGATGACCCGAGGTATGTCGGGGCACCAGGGACTTCCTTTCTAGGGTATACCTGGTTCCCCGGCTATTAGTACCCGAGACGGCGTGCGGTTTTAGTCGGTTCGAGTCCGACATGCCACTGACAGGTGGTATCCGAGGGGATATCCGCACGGAAAAAAAAAAAAAAAAAGGGGACATAAAAGGCAAGCATTATGTAAAATTAAAAATTTATTGTCATAAGTAGGTTATAACCTAAATTACTATGAATTATCGTTTTTTCTAGAAGAGTAACTGGTAGCTGGTATTATATATTCGGTTGTCACTTTGTTTCATATTTTACAAACCTATAGAAAGCAAAGTACTGTTTAGAGATTTCTCTCTGCGTGATGAGTTCTGCCACATACATAATAATTATTGTAATTATTATTAACATTATTGAGTATTATTTACATGTGTACAGTCTTTTAATTTATCTTAAAGAGATCACTTCTTAACATTGAAGCCTTCACCCGTAGGATCAAGAATCCAAGGGTAATTGTTCGGGCATTCCATGCAAGTGAAGAGACGGAGCACCTCCCCTGGTAACTCTCGTGTAGTAAGTGGGCAGGCATTTGGCAGTGAGCAGAAAGGTTGTCCTTTCACGTCACATTTGTCTTGTTTCCATTCCTGGAAGTCTCTCAACGATGAGAGTTCTGTAGGATTTTGCATCCATTGAATAACTTGAATAAGCGATGTGAAGTAAACATCATTCTTTTCTAACATCTCTTCTATGAATTTAATCAATTCATCTCTAAATTCTTTTTTGGATTTCAACCATGAAGCGTGGAAGTGTAGACCAAGTGGGGCACGGTTGGTCGTGTAGTGGCGGTTGAAGTTGTGACGCAGAAGACGTGCGAATTGCTCACCGGTTTGGATGTTAGAACAAGAATCGACGACATGACAACCAGGCAGTGATTCATCGAATGTTGGATCGTCTCTTCTGTCCAATTCATTCATAACCATTTCCCAAACTGGGTGGCTTCTTGATGGGCAGTTGTGTGCATTACCGTTGCATTTGTGAGGCATACGGAAGTACAGAGTGTAAGGCCAAATGGGCACACGGTTGAGTGGAGCGGTAATTGAAGCATCATAAACAAAGTACTGGTCTGCCATCATTTCGAATTGTTTGTTTCCACCAACACGCAGGTAGGGAGCACGTATACCAATAATTGAGGAATCAGTAATGTTAGCGAAACGCTCTACAATCAAACGACCACCAGCCATTTCTGCTAGCCAATCATCGTAAGTTCCACTGGTCCAATATAGAGGGTCGTCTTTGTGTGTTATAGAGAAGACAGATATTTCGTGACCTTTACGGTGTAATTCTTGAACGGCGGCGTAATTTGTGTATTTGTGGGATACGAAGAACGTTCCTCGAATCTGGCAACCGTTGGGATTGTGACGGTTTCCATTGAATATTTGCTCGTACAGGTCAATATTGTCTACGTTTACGGCACCATTAAAAGTAATGGTAACCATCTGAGGTACTTGGTTGGGTTCGATACCTCCCGGGATACGAGTTCCGTCAGCGGAGCAGAAGCAATCAGGCAGCACACACTGGTTGGGGTCACAGTCAGGGGCTCTGTTAGGATCGACGTCAACAGCTAGAAATAACAGAAAAAATATGTTTAACTTATCTGCACACTAGTTGGGAACATGGTATTTTAACCATACAATAGTTATTCTCTATACGTACTGCACGCGTTTTCGTCAGACTCATCTTTGCAATCAGGCTTCCCGTTACAGAATAGTTCTTTTTCTATGCAGTCACCACTACCGCAGGCTAACTTTCCTTCAGGGCAGATGGGTTCATCGGTTTTCAGAATAGGCAACACTTTCCTTGGCTCTGTGAAATATTATATTTTGGATATAAAAAAAATATTAAATGATTGTAGTTCACCCTATTATGATGTCACTATGCAGGTGTCACGTTTTGTGTTGTAATTGTAGCAGTATCTCAGGGGCTCGAAGGAACTATTACAGCTTGGAATAAGTGGGTGGCTTGACTCATCTAAATATAGGTTGTAATAAACAGCGCACACACACACATACGCCATTTTTCCCAATTCTCCGGGGCCCTAAAGTGACAATTTGGAGTGCTGGAAATATTAGTAGAATTTGTTTGTCTAAATGGATATGTCTTAATATACGTTAAATTAGTCAATGGTTTATAATTCCTTTGAGCTCCAGGATCAACAAGAACATTGAAGAAAAAAGCAGAACAGGATGATTGAAATAAAAGAAGAATATAAGTAAGAAAGGATAGTTGAGTAACAAATTTCATGAGATAATATTTAAAGAGGTTCCTTGGTTAAAATGTTTAAAGACTTATTAGATGATTGAATAGGACTGCATGATATCCACACGTACAATGAGTTTAGGGTTGTTACATTTCATTATTATTATTTCTTTATCGGAATACAATTTAACAATTTTGTAATGATGATAACTAAATAAAAAGTTGCCCTTTAGCCAACCTTTAGATTACAATGCCAAGTACCTAACTGGAACAGTTTACAAGTTCATAGTAGTAAAATATAAATTATTATCATTCATCAAACTTGTTTGCTATTCTAGTTCTTCTATAAAATGAAAAATGTTTATTAGAGATGTCTTAATCATATACCGCATAATTTTAGGTTAAGCAGATTTTGTGTGTATAATACATATAAACTACAGTAAGTGAATGCTACCTACTTATATATAATTTAAAGTAATATTAATGAAACCACTTCCACGACGAAGAGACCTCGTTTTTTTTTAAATTTTATGTTAGTAAATTATATGATAATGAAGCTTAAGCCAAAGTATGTTAGGTTTTGAAGGAATAGTAGAGAAGTAACTGTGTTAGGTAATAGCTTGTTTAGAAAAGTAAATGAGTGTAGGTTGTGTTGTAAGATATGTAAATATCATTGCTGAAATTACATTTCTTTTGGGTTTGTAGTTCATAAGTCTGGACCTTTCTGGACATTTATGTAACTTTTTGCTTTCCTAGTTTTTACTCACAAGAAACTTTAAAAATAGAGTTTACCGTATTTTTTCACAGGGGAAATATAGATTATTGGTAAGTGCATTTAGTGTATCTTTATTGTGTTGTATATGTTAACGTGTAATAATCGAAACGCCTGGGGGCGAGCCGGCCCCGCGCTCCTTTTCTCGGGGGCCTCATGCAAATACACCTTAACTACAGTGCGACGCGGCCCCTTCACCCAAGCCCGGTTGCTTGCTACGCGCCAATAGGTTCATTCCGGCACTTACTCTCAAATTTGCCACAGTTGTTCACTTTACCCTTCCAGTCGCAGGTTTGTTTATCAAGATCGAAAGCCAGTCCAGACGGGCAAGTGATTTGTTTAAGACCTGACCTAGTGCACCTGCGTTGACAAGAAATGTGTCATTAAAGAAAATGTTATGACTCTAGGAAGTGATCATTCGGAAGGCTAATAGGTCCACCGGATTGTGACACTTGACTGGGTTCATAAACGAAACTTAGCCCTCCGCATAACCAGTTCCCCCATATGACGGAACTTACTTTCTAGTTCTTTGCAATTCTTAACATGGGTTTTCCAGTCACAAGTTTGACGGTCGATATCGAATGCGAGACCGCCTGGGCAACGCACAGAGGCGAGCCGCGTCACCCCGTTCTCACCGCCCTTGTCGCACCTGTACACAGCGGAACTCTGAGCTTTGTCTATAATATCTTTTACACATCATAATATACCCACCCTATACATAACAAGGTTCGTTAATGGTTATATTCACGAGCCTTAGCATGTATACAACAAAAATCAGCAGATATAAATCCGTACCTGGAACGAGCTGAAATACTAATGTGAATAATAGAGTACATGTCAGAGATATATATATACATATATACTATCACGTAACAGCAGACTTAAAGTTAAGAATATTTAAAGAAAAGTATTCGATGAGAACAATTTACGAGTACTATAACTACTATACATATAATATTCTTAGCACGATAGATACCGTTTTGCTTTGCTTACATACTTGAATATCAAGTCCTCGCTCACTGCATACTAAGCAGTGCCCATAAATAAATCAAACGACAAACAACGATTCATGACCACATTCACAACCTTAATATATCCAATTGTAACTACACGATAAATATAGAATGACCTTTTTGTAAATGCCACAACCCTAGGAGTTGTGGTAATCTAAATGCCGGTCTGCTATTAAACGAGATTATCCAATTCTTATTGATTTCCTGCAAGTTATATCCGCTAAGTAAACCTACGAAGCTTTCATTTCTACTAATCGGAAAACTTGTTCCATTGCTAACCAGTTTTCACTAGACTGTCATAGAAACATGACGACGATATGACGACACAATAACATTGCGACTCAAAATTGTTTCGAAACAACTAACTATATCATAATGTAACAACGAATGAGTTATGCTTAAAAGTTGTCATTGTTTAAAACTTACCTGACTACATCGCGGCAGTCTCCTTCAGTGGTAAGCCGGAAATATTCATCAGCCGGGCGACCCTCGCACAATTGTTCTGGGGTTGCATCGTCTCCACCGGAATCATCATCTTGTCGCTTAACTCGCGTACTGTACACTACAATATATTTATTAATTTAATTAATTACTGTTTGCTTGAATAATTTGTGTACCTTACATAACAAGAAATAAATGTCTACAATTTAGATTAGTAAACGGGGCCCCAGCCGTACCCTCTTTAGCATGCTCATTAGGTAACTCAACTTAACGTAAGCCGTGATTACAACATCGCCTGTAATGGAATGTTGTACCTGCAGTTACATTGCATCGCCGTGTTTATGTGCGCACTAATGCCTTCTACATTTATACTAACTAAAGAATGTGTTAAAGTATAATATAAATTCGGTTATGGGTTAAATGGAATAATTACACATTAGGCAGCTAAGGCAGCGTAGAAGCTTTAAGTAAAAGTCCTCATATTTTAAACACTGAGTTCACATATTTATTAAGTGCGTGACACGATTTGTTTATTACAGAATTCTAAGTTTAGAACTATCCAAGTGAATTGCAGTTCCAATCCATGTCGGCATTGAAAGTTGAAACGTTAAAAAGAAATCGAGGTCAAGCGAAGTAAACGAGCCACGTAGGATGCCGGCGTTCTTTCTTTGTTACTCTACGGTAAACTTTGACTTATGTAAACGTGTTTTTTGACTACATTTAAGCTTTTTACTATAAGATGATCTAGAATAATAAGGAATAATAAGTTATTTTTTATTGTTATGTAATTGAAATATTTTGCAATGTTTTAAACGTAATATACATAACAGTTTTGAGATTTGCAAAGGAAATTATTTTATTAAAAACAACTTCTTACTGTATGTGTTGTTATTTATAAAATAATACATATTTAGATAATGTAAATATAGCATATATAAACATATTTAATACTTTTATAAATTTTAACTTTTAGCATTAAGTGTGCCCTTGTACACACGTTATGGAGAAAATGATAAACAACTAATAAACAAATATGGCAATGTGTTTGTATTATTATCCATTTAATCATAATTTAATAAAATAAACTAGTACAAACAGCCTTCAATTTAGAATAAATAAAAAAATACAACTTACCGTTACAAAGGAAATAAAATTATTATTAATTAAAAATATGTAAATGTTAAGTTGACGGTTTTTAATAAGGATTTATTTCTTACTAAAAATCCAAAAAAATAATTGTATTTTTATTTTAAAAGTAGCTTGAGTTTTGTAGTAATGCTTTTCAGTGTGTGTATTTCAATGGTATTATATATTTCATGACACTAAAATATAATTAATATTATGGGACTCACCGAGACAGCTGAGCAACAACACACCGAGACACAGATACGCGTGTCGAGCCATGATGCTCGGCGTGGACTGGTGGCTGCGACGTGCGCTGTCAAGAAAGTGCAAGAGGTGTCGGCTGCCCCTCTTCACCTATTTGTATTTATATAACCTGGCAGCGCAAACTCGGCACCCGCCGCGCTAAGACACATCAGCCGTCCTATAGGTAAAGCAGCTCAAAACAATGTAAGCTGTTGTATTATTCTGGCAGCTTTTAAAAAGCATTCAACGTTGTAGCTTGAGGTATCGTAATATGTAAATGATTATGAGGAACATCGTTAATTATTTGGATAAATCACCTTCGAACACTTTTTTTCAGCTTTTAGCAATTCAATTTGTGCAATATTTTTACCTTGCGTATATAATCTCTCTTTTGAAAATACTTTAGTAAGTAATTAAGTTGTTCAGTTAAAACGGGTAGGTATAGAACAATTCTGCAGTATGCAGTACACACAAATTATATTATCTTAAAGTGGTTTCCTTATTCATATTTGCATAATAGGCAAAAATTTATGTCTGTTTTAAAAATATGAATATATATCCAGTTAATGTTTCTTGAAATAAAAATGAAGTTCTAAACATATTACTTGCAGTTCTTACGTCAATCTCTCTACGATGACAAATTTAATACTTAACGTCCATGACTTAAAACAACACCACAAAAGAGTTATAAGAATTGAGACTCTTCTCGAACAGGCTATAAATACGCGAGATCTATTCTCATCTCATATAGACATCAGTTCTCTTTCTAAAGTGCATTGCTAAAGTTCATTTCAGATTTTATTAATTTTATTTCAGATTTTATACATATAATGTTGGGCTTTCCTGATTTTTAAACAATGTTTAGTTACTTATAGTTAAAACAAATAGTTAACTTAAAAACTAAATAAGCAATTTGATTTCGTAAAGGTCACGTCACGTTTTTTGTGCGACATTGCAGACGCAGCTGCCAGACATAATATATTAATTTTAATGATAAAGAAATCAAGAAATATTAGTTGAGATGATAACTTAATTGCTTTTATTATGAGCAATAGTAGTCATCATATGTTTAATCTAGGTCTACTAAACTAACTTGTAATAATTTTAGTTTAAAATAATAATTGTTAAGGGTTTATGTGAGTCCTTTATAAAAAGAGTTATGTAACTGACCAGATATTTGTGACTACATGCGTATCATTATAGATTTACCTAAGATTATATATTTATTTCCTAACCAATTTAAGGAAGTTTGTAATTCTACATAAAACACGATCGAAGTGGTTTATATGGAAGTGATGAACGCTGACAGTTATAACGGGCACCCTGACAACGTCGCACCGCCAACTCGTTTGTCAAATAAGATTCTTACTACAAATATGTTTCTGAAAATAATTGTTTGGGCGTTTGAGTCTTCCCCAGATTTTTCTATAAATAACTGAAAAAACAACTTACTCTCTGTCTCTCTGACTCTGTCACTAGAGAACTCCTTGATCTATCACTATTATATATCATATATAATAAATTCCTTCTATCACTAGAAGGAATTTACAAATCGCACTCATTACTTGAGTTAAGTGATTTTACATGGATGAAAAATATGAATTTTTGATTTTAATTGCCACCTACTTTCAAATGGCCCATCTAATGTGAACTCGCTTAATTTTAAACGTTGCATTAGAATTCATTAAATAAAAATATAAAGTAGTAAAGGTGCAACATATAATGACAAGTACTAATTATATTAATGTTTTTATGGCAGTGCTTTTGAGTTCTTTTTAAATACATTCTCTTTAAATATTTAAAACATATATACATAGAAAATACCTTTTCTCTCGTTTTATATCTCCTTTCGTGATTGACTTCAATTACTGAATTAGAATGGCTTATTGTATAAACACTTTTTCCATTGATCATGCTTTCCCTTTCAATTCTTGCATCATATTTTAATCTAATCAATGCGATTAAATTCTTTTTAAATATGCTTACATACAATTAGAAATCAATCAGAACGTGATAGGAGCCGGTCATCACATCACAAAGGTCATCGTCGAAAGACGTCGACGACAGGGCGGCACCTTTCCTTCCGACTGACGCATGTCCTTTCCGGGCACGTTTGCTTCGGGAAGTACCTGCACTCGGTCACTAGATTGGAATCGAGTCCCGCCTGTCACCACTACTGTTGCAGTGAGCTCGGCTTAGCATAGGTACGCTAGCATTTTGTTCGTCTTGGATTTCACAGCGTGGTGCCCTCATTGCAGTCATCGGGGAGGATCCCTCGCCGTCGTACAATCCATGGTCGGTAGCGACAGATGTTTTACCGCGGTCGCATCCTTCTGCAAAGATGTCAACTTTCAGAAGGAGGCGGCAGAGAGGGCCTGGGAGGAAGATCTCCACTCGGACCGCAGGGTTTACGGCGGGGTGGTGTCTCGGAATCGGACCGGCTAAAACCACAAGGTAAATAATAAAACTAACTTTATTAATAAAAAAATACGTTTTGTTTCTATATTAAATACCAGCTGTACCCCGCCACGCGGCAGATTGCTGTGGCAGATTATTGTTGCATTTATGAGAAATGACTAATCTGACGCAAAACGTAAGATAAAACAATCTTTGAAGCGGTTTGTACATCGTGTCAAAATATGAGCTTAATCGGTGCAGAACTTTTTGAGTTTTTGAAGCTTATACAAACCAAATTAACATTTCTACTTATATAAGATAGATATAGATTCCACATGGAATTCAGATTAAGTATAATAAACTATTGATATTTGCTCACAACTTTTGTAACTCCATATATTATGTTATAGAAACCATATGGAGTAATTTTCATCAAGGACTCTTACATATGACCGCGATTTAGTCACTCTGAATTGTAAATATTCATAGGTTAGTAGAGACTTGATGCTTTTAACAATAAAAATGTTTGTTTTAAAAAAGAAAATTAATGAATAATATTTGTAAAAGTGTTTGACTTAGCCGTTAAGTTGGTAATTATTGACAATATAATCGATCATGGCTATATCACATAAAAAATTATTATACAAGCCGTAGGCATCGAATTGACAGACAGTATTTCAGGTAAGTAACATATTTTTTCATATTATAAGTGACTAACACATGAGATAAATATATTCTCTTTGAATATTCAAAACGTATTATCCGCGCGAGAGTCATGCTTTGGCACAACGTGAACGGTAGCTTGGTGTTGCTGGATGAAGCGGGTAAATTATTGGAGAGGGTTCTTTTTGCCCGCATCGTCCGGCAGCTCTGCAAGGTGGGCCTGGATCTGCCAGACGTCAAATTCGGCGTTCAGCGATCGGCGCTGTGATGCGCTTCAGGATCGTGACTGAAGACCTCTGGCGGCGTGCTGCTAGCGGTGTCATTAGACATCGTCAACCCATGCAATAGCCTGCCATTCAGCTACATTAGGGAGGCACTCCACTATCACGGGTTGCCAGAGGCGGTCAGTGACAGACTATTTAGAGGAGCCTACCATCATGCACGAGGACTAAGATTGATATCTGAGGCGCTTGCCCACGGCGTGCAGTGTTCCGCAATTGTTTGTTCTTGGTACCCTCCGGTAGAATTTAGGGTCTGAGCGTAATTTGTTACGCTGATACAATTCCCGAGGAACGAACGGGTCTACCAATAGGGATGACCTGGTTTTGACAGCTCATAGGGGCCATGTTCGATGATGGATCTTTGACGTCTCTTGACATTTGTGTTCAGTAAGGTTTGCCATTTCATCATGTCACGTTTTACTTTAAACCAACGCTTGGAACTTCTTTAAAAGTGACGAAGGAAACCCTGTTACTGTGAATGGCGAGCGCTATAACTCGATGTTAACCGAATATTTCTTTCCGGAATTTGATGATATTGATGCAGACGACCTTTATTTTCAACAAGACGGTGCACCACCTCACATTACTCGAGTGAATATGGAATTATTGCGTGGAAAGTTTGGACCGATCAGTTGGCCATCAAGATCGTGTGATTTTACACAACACACACCTTTAGACTATTTTCTTTGGGGTTACGTTAAATCTAAAGTGTAATAATCTAGCTACAATTCGTGACCTAAAAACCAACATTCGACAAGCCATAACCGACATACCGGCCGAAATGGTGCACCGCGTCATCGAAAATTGGCGTGAGCGGGTGACCGTCTACAAAAAGAGCCGCGGCGGTCATTTGGCCGATATATTATTTAAAACATAAATTGCATAAAATTATCTATCAAATAAATCAATCGGATGCATTTTTCATAAAAAATTGTGTGTTTTATTCAATTTTTAAACCAGGACGTTCTTATTGGTAGACACCATATATATATATATATATATAAGAGTTTGTAGCTTCTCTTAAATTGCAATACAAACAATTTCTCTCTCGAGTATTAACGTATAGTACGTCATTACTCTGCTAAATGCTTATTTCACTCTGCATTGATTTTTATAACACTCATTTTTTTGAAGTTGTAATGCTCCATAAGAGAACCGATTTCGAGCATAGAAGACGTGGGCAGTGATATCAGTCGTCGTCGGGGCATCGAGCCACAAGAGAGTGGGGATTTCTGGTGGCAAATTAGGAGGCGGCGGCCTGATTAGGAGGTAGTCCGTTGGAGCAAGGTCTGGCGAATACATAGGATGACGTATGGTGGTTATCGCGGCGGTAAGATCCGTTATAGAAGATTGGCTCAAGTGGCATTACTGAACCCTCTCATACCGGTAGACGCAGGTGATCACCTGGAAAGGATGCTTTGGAGATTACCTGTGTCTGATTACCTGAGTGCCACCACTGCGATGGCCGGACCGAGGACACAGCGCTCCGCATGCTGGCAAAATGAACGGCTTGGGTGGAGCAGAGCATTATTTAATATGCTATTTATTTAATAAATGCATTTGTGTTTGTGATTCATTTCTGTTAATCTAAGGTGAAGGAAAGGTAACTTCCTGAATTATTGTGTCTATTTAATAAGACCAGTACTCGTATCGGAAGGTGTTTACACTACGGTCCATTTGTACATTCTATTAATT